GAAGCCTGAAAACTGAAGCGTAGAGCATACTCGAACCTGTCGCCCTCTGGAGATTGACATACGACGCCTGCTCCACAACCATTTGAAGTAGAGCTTCCGTCCACATATACCTTCCATACTTGGTCTGGAACTTGAGAGTCAGGAGGACGAGTCATCTCTACAATAAAGTCAGCAAAGGCTTGCCCCTTCACTGCTTTTCTAGGCTCGAAAGTAACTTCGAGGCTCTGTATTTCTATGGCCCATTTGATCATTCGTCCTGACGACTCCATGATGGTAAGAGGCCGCTTGATAGGTTGGTCTGTATACACGACGACTGCATGTGCCAAAAAGTAGGGCTTCAATTTTTTAACAGCCATGAAGAGTGCAAGACCAAATTTCTCCACTAGGGGATACCTCAACTCGGCATTTTTCAGTACGTGGCTGACAAAGTAAACCGGGTGCTGACAGCCGTCCCTTTCAGCAAGGAGAACAGCGCTTAACGCATGATCAGAGACGGCCAGGTACATGTAGAGATCCTCTTTGGGCAAAGGGCTGACCAGCCTCGGCAAGGAATGCAAGTGAACTTTTAATCTCTGGAAGGCGGCCTCAGCATCCGGCCCCCATTCAAACCTTGCCTTTTTCTTAATTGCCTGGAAAAAGTATAGGCATTTGTCGCCTGATCGGCTTAGGAATCTCCCCAAGGCCGCCAGACAACCTGTTAACTTCTGAACCTCTCGGATGGTACGAGGCGACTGCATGTCAATGACCGCCTGCACCTTCTCAGGGTTCGCCTCTATTCCTCTCTGATTGATAAGGAATCCGAGAAATTTCCCAGACTCAACTCCAAATACACATTTCTTGGGATTGAGCATGACATGGTGCCGCCTGAGTGTGGCGAAAGTTTCTCGGAGGTCCGTCAGATGATCTTTCTGAAATTTAGTCTTGACAATCATATCATCAATATATGCCTCGACGTTTCTCCCAATCTGATCAAAGAACACAGTGTTTATCATTCGTTGGAAGGTAGCCGGGGCATTCTTAAGACCAAACGGCATGACCGTGTAACAGTATAACCCCTGATCAGTGACGAAGGCCGTCTTCTCCTGATCTTTCTTCCATAAGGGAATTTGATGGAAACCAGAATAGGCGTCCATGAAACTCATCAAGGCATGGCCGGCTGTTGAGTCGACCAGATTATCAATTTTAGGCAGAGGGTAACTGTCTTTGGGGCACGCCTTGTTTAAGTCTGTGTAGTCTACACACATTCGCCAGGTGCCATTCGGCTTTTTAACAAGTACCACATTTGCAACCCAGTCTGGGAAGTAACATTGCCGAATGAACCCTGCATCAAGTAATTTTTTAACTTCGGCGGCTGCCGCCTGACTTCTTTCTTCGCCATGGTTCCGCTTCTTTTGCCGTACCGGCTTCTTTTTCGGATCCACAGCGAGTTTATGTACCGCCAGATCAGGACTAATGCCTGGCATTTCATGGACTTCAAATGCAAAGATGTCCTTGTATTCTTTCAATAAGTTGTGAAAGTCGTCACCAAGGTTTTTCAGAGCAGTCGTCCCAACTTTGACTGTTCGGTCAGGACGCGAGTCGTCTAAGATCAGGTCCGCATGCTCACCAGCCGGCTGAGGGCGAAACTCATCCGGCCGCTTCTCTGCCAATGATTGCTATTTTCTTGCTTTTCTTGCGGACTCTGTCTGGGACGCCTTTCTCTTTTTGCCGCCTGCTTCTTGAACAAGCGCACTCTCCTTGACATTGTCAAGGTCTGTTTTTTCTCCACTTGACCCAGTGGCCGTAACAGTGGGCTTGACATCCGAGAGATAGCACTCTCGGGCCATCCTCTGATCTCCCCTTAGGGAGCCGACTGTTCCATTATCCCTCTCAAACTTGAGCAACATAAGAGACGGGATTATAACAGCCTTGGATTTATTCAGGGTTGGTCGACCCAGAATCATGTTGTAGGCCGAGAGTTCCTCTACTACTAGGAATCGGACTACCATGTGTCGTCCTTCCCCTTTTTCGCCAAGGCGAATGGGCAAATCTACTCGTCCCAGTGGGTGAACGACTCCTCCTCCAAACCCTATCAAAGGGTGGGAGGCCGGATGTATGCAGTCCGTCTGATATTTCAGTTTTGGACATTTGCTGCTGATGAGATCTGAGGAGCTCCCGGTATCTATGAGGATTCGGCCAACTCTCTGGTTGGCCACTTTACATTCAATAACGAGAGGGTCGTCATGCGGCCCCCTTACCCCTCCTAGATCCTCTTCAGTGATGACAATCTCAGGAAATGTATATTTGGACGGTCGTTCTTGGTGAACGGAATTTACATCTAACCGCCTTATATTATCTTTGTTGCCCCTAATAGTGGGGCCGCCTCCTGAGAAGCCGCCTGCAATGGTGTAGACGACTGCATCATCTGTATCGGAGCTGTCGGCCTGTTGATTCTTTTTGGCCGACTGCTTTTTTGAGGAAGTGTTCCCCGTAGATTTCTTGACATAAGTGTCAAGATCACCTTGCTCAGCCAGGCGGTCTAGGTACCGCATGAGACTGATGCAATCATTGGTGTGATGACCAACGTCATCATGATAAGCACAGATTTTATCTTGGTTCCGGTTGTTTGCAGAACCCTTCATGGGGACCGGCTTCTCAATTGAGATCCGTCCCTTTATTTCTTTTAGGATAAACTGGTTATCCTTGTTAAACACATACTTTGGGGAGTATGGTTTGAATTCTTTTTTCTTTTTCTGGGCCGGCTGTTTAGAGGAATCAGCCACCCAGACCTCTTTTCTTTTCTCATCTTTGTTAGACGACTGTTTCTGTCGTCCTTCTCTTTTGTCGAACCTTTTCCCGTCCGACTGTTTTATCGTACACAGATCAGTCGCCTGTATATAGGCTTCTGCTTCAATCAAGGCCTCTTGAAGAGTCGCCACCCTTTTTCGAACCAAATCAAATTTGAAGGTAGACCCGTCTTTGAGACCTCTAAAAAAGTCAGTATAAGCTACCTCATCCGGTAACCCTTGAATCTGTATTCTCATCAGGTTGAACCGCCTGATGTAAGAACGAAGCCCCTCCTTCTCGCCCTGCTGAATTGTTCCCAAATCAAGGGTCGTTTTCTTCGCAGGGATGTTCATGGCGAAGTTGGAGGCAAATAAGTAAGCAAGCGTCCTGAAGCTGTTTACACAACCAGTCGGCAGGTTGCCGAACCATTGCTGTGCGATTCCCTTGAGAGTCGCTGGGAAACACTTGCACCAAGTGGGATCATCCAACCCTTGAAGGTACATCAGGTTGGTGAATGCCATCAGATGGTCTTCTGGGTTAGTAGTGCCGTCATAGGCGCCTACTAGTACATTTTTTACTTTGGCCGGCTGAGCGGCTTCAGTAATTTCCTTGGAGAAGGCCGACGACTGTTCACCAAGTCTTAGCAACCGTAGCTGCCAGTCCATAGGTTGGACGTTTTTTGCTGCAGGTCCACCAAATGGAGGTGGCTGCATAAAATACTGTTGCGGCACAAATGGTAAGTTTGGTACCGCCTGGGCACTATGAAAGCCGGACTGACGGGAGGTGCCGCCTGACTGACTCTCATGGTACGACTGAGTATGCCTCATCGAGGCATTTCGCAAACTGTCTTGAAAATTTGAAGTAGAAGCCGATTCTGACAATCGGTCACTCTTCTTCTGCTCTAGCAGTAGTCGAGCATCTGTGAACGTTTGCTTTGACCCGTCCGCCTGAATATGACGAACCGGTTTCCTATTTCCTGTAGGATAACGGAATTTTGTGAAATCAAGGGCAGGTGGCTCCCGCTTCCTAGATTTAGGATGAGGAGTCGCTTCTCGCCCTTGAACTGGCTTCCTCTTCTGTGAAGTGGAAGGTTTCTTGGCCGACTGCTCCTTGACTGAAGCAGGCGGCTTCTTGTTGATCAACTCTTGGATCTCTCCCTTGAAGTCCCTCATGAAGGTCATGAGTTCGTTCCTTGTGATGGGAGCAGACCTATCAGTCGGCTGTTGCCGAGCAGGCGGTGCGCCTGCTGGCTCGCTTCCTGTTTGAAGATGCTCCCGTTCCCTCCTTTCGGTATGACGGGTACGTCGGGCCCTTAGGGTCCCGTCTGGAGCTGTATGAGTTTCAACTTCAAATTCACTTTCGGTGTCATGGTCCGACTGAACTTGAGGGTCGTTTAGGGGACGCCTCTCTTCAGGAGTCGGTACAGACTTGGATGCCATCTCTGAAGTACTCTCCCTACAGACGGCGCCAAATGTTTCGGGGTTTTCTGATGTCCTGCGGGAGAGTTACAATTCCGAGACTGGAACCGGACGCCTGTACCTGCAAAATAACGGAGACTCCTGAGAGCTCCGCCTCCAACGGTCAAGTTAGTACCTGATTAAGGAGTAATTAATACGGAAATTAAAGTAATAAGATCTCTCTAGGTGAGAGTGTTTAATGTTGGTAATCTGCTCTGTTAGCGAGATTAGCCAGTTATTAGTGTTCCGTAATGTTTCTGTTCTTCTCTGTTCTTCAGGTGAGATTAATTGCTTGATCAGTTGCTCGATGTTTTCTTGATCCCCTTTAATGAGGATTAATTAAGTATTTATAGTCTTGAGAAGCGTGCCACTCTCTAGGTTTAGGGTAAACCTAGGGCTGACCGGGCCTCTAGACAGGATTGGGCCTTGTTGGCCGGTTTTCCCATTTGGCATGGGTGGACACGTGGCGTGTCTCAATTGGTCCGTAGAGGACGTATCTGTGATTGACACGTGGCAAGCTCCTATTGGCCTACGTGAAGGACACGTGGCGGAACCTGGTTGGTCCACTTGTCAGACGGTGATTGGTGGATAAAAATCCCCTAATCAAATACGTCATGTTATATAATAACTGTAAAAATTGCATATATCTTTCACAGTTTTTCCAATCATCATCATACAAAGCATTTTGTGGAAATTTTTGGTTGTAAAATAATGTTAACGGGCCCTTGTACTCAATTGCCTTTGTTTTAAAAGTTGTGTTCTCCGATCAATTAAGGGTGCAAAATCATTTCCCAGAGCACAGGTACACAACTTTCAAATACCAAATCAAACTAGTGTCCGAAAACACCAGTTTTTCAGTCCCACCACCTGCAATCAAATGCCCACAACTGGAAATTTGACAAAACAAATGAAAAACATGTGGTTGTAATCCTCCATTGTCGTCTTCTCGAATTCCCTGCTCCTTTGGAACATCTTCACGACTGTTCTTCCTTTCTCATACTTGCACGCAAACTCCTCTTTCTATCTCTTTCTCCATAATTCTCAACTCAATCTCCAATTCTCCATTTTCATTAAATCTTACACAAACTTCATCGTCCATTACAGCTAAAACAACCCCAACAATGGCGTTTTCTCTCTCTACCACAACACCCACTCCAACTCCAACTTCTCTCACTAAATTCTCACCTCTTCCCTTTCTCTCTCCTCACCATCGTAAAACCCAGATCATTTCTTCTTCTAGAAGGTTCTCCAATTTTCCAGTAATACGTGTTACTGCTCCTTCAATCAGCCCTCCTGAAGAAAAGCAAGGAGAAGAAGAAGTGCCCATTGATTCAAACGACATCATTTCACCTGGAACTGAAGAAACAGAGCAATCCTCGAAATTTACATGGCGAGATCATTGGTACCCTGTCTCTCTTATTGAAGATCTCGATTCTCGTGTTCCTACCCCTTTTCAGCTACTTGGACGCGACATCGTTTTGTGGTTTGATAAGTTGAATAATCAATGGGTTGCTTTCGATGACAAATGCCCACATCGTCTTGCTCCTCTATCTGTAAGAATTTCGACAATTTTTGATGAAATTCATGTTTTTTTGTTTGATTTAATGAAGTGGGTATCTTGTTGTTTTGATTGATTTGTTGATTTGATGAATTGGGTCCTTTTGAATTCCTCAATTTGGTTGATTTTGGTGGAATGGATTTGATATTTATATATTATGTTGTGATGATTTGGATGATTTGTTAGGAAGGGAGGATAGATGAAAATGGAGATTTGCAATGCTCGTATCATGGTTGGTCTTTTAATGGGTGTGGGTCGTGTACTCGGATCCCCCAAGCCCGATCGGAGGGACCGGAAGCTCGGGCCGAGAAGTCACCTAGAGCCTGTGCCACAAGGTTTCCTACTATGGTGTCTCAAGGCTTGCTCTTTGTTTGGCCTGATGAGAATGGATGGGAGAGAGCTAGTATAACTCAACCTCCTAGGTAACTTATCCTTAATTCTTAGAAATGTGAATTAGTTTGTAATTAAATAATGATTATGCTTTGGCAGTTTGGCTTTCATGTATTTTATATTGAATATATAGTTAATTAGCACTTGGTAGTTAGGTGTAAGATAATTGTTTATTACGGAGTAGTTAGTTATTATATTCATTTTTATTTAATGTTTGTGGTGTGTTATAAGTAGGACATTGTTTGGAATATTAATTGCTGATTGGGGGTTGTGTTGTTTATTGGCTAGGTTGCCAGATGACTTTGATAAGCCTGAATTTGCCACAGTATCGATCCAACGTGATTTGTTTTACGGCTATGATACTTTGATGGAGAATGTCTCGGATCCCTCTCACATAGACTTTGCTCATCACAAGGTCTACTTCAATCTTGGACCATTGCGTTTGTAGTTTACCTTAATATGTATGTCAGTATGTGTGATTTGGTTTAGACTAAGGTTCCTGCTTCAGGGTGCACCTAGTTTAGAAGTTTTGGTTGCCATTTGATCAAAGCAATTTGCCACTAAGCTTCTTCTCTTCAGGCTAATTTGATTTCGAACTAAATTGAGATTCCAAAGATAAAATGTCAAAAGTACATTTTGAAATCTTTAAAATTCATTAGTTTAAAAATTATCTCAATAAGACTCGAGCTTCTAAATTTTATGAAGTGACAATAAGTATTCTTCTTTTACATTAGCCCTGCCAAGTGTTAAATTACCAATATCACTCACTAGGACTTAAAGACATACCCTAACAGTTTCCGATTCAAGTCATTTATTAAAGCCTCAAAGCCTAAAAAAAGGCATATGGATTTTTTTTTTTTGGTAGCTGTCCATTTGAATGCTGACATGCTAATTGGGTGACTAGTGTAAACACTAAACACTCATCTTATGCAAGTACTGCAACACCTATCATAACCCAGTGAATCCCTTCTTTGAAATGAAACTCTATGGCAGCTTTTATCAGTTGGATTCAATATAACTTTAAAAGTGCTTCCACTTACTGCATACCTTCCATAACTTATTCACTCAATCCTCATATAATAGCATGGCGTGCTGGAAGTTGATTTATCTTTTGCTTTGATTATTGGAGACTATGTAAGATGTGTTATATTCATAGGCAACACAGGCAATGGAGTTTCTGTGCATAAGGAACCTCATTTTAAAGATTTTTCTTAAGAGCTGAATACTCTTTGCTGTAGCTGACTCCATCCCTAAATGCTTTTTTCACAAATCCAGGTTACAGGAAGGAGGGACAGGGCCAAGCCTTTGCCATTCAAGGTTGAATCCAGTGGTCCTTGGGGCTTTGCTGGAGCCAATGATGACAACCCAAAAATAAGTGCTGAATTTATTGCACCTTGTTACTATATGAATAAGTAAGTCGGAGATTGTATGTTGTGTTTTAAGCTATTATGCATAATAGTTGGGGTTTGTTGTATTAGAATTGGTTTGACCAATTTTGTTATTGCACTTCAATCTCGGATGCATTACAGTCATAATGAAGGAATTGTCAGTTTGCCTTGTCTAGAGTCTGGCAGAAAACCCTTTTCTAATGTTTGAGTGGATAGTTTCTGTTATTTTGGTTCTGTTTTCATTACAAATTTATGGGATGTTTTACTGTCTTGTATCATGCTTCAAAAAGGGCTTTATTCAATTACCTCCTCCTAAAGAATGATAATTTTTGTTGGACTATAAGATGATGGAGAAGGAAGATTTATGTCGATGACTACACGGAATAATCAAATTTGGTTCATGTAGCCTACCCCACATATGGGAGTAAGGCTTTGATTGATAAATTGATTGATATAAGAATTAAGATGATTGAATGAACTAGTTGTTTCCACAAATGTGATGATTTTCTTTTTCTTGGCTCAGGATAGAGATAGATGCAAAGCTTCCTATTGTAGGTGACCAGAAGTGGACAATATGGATATGTTCCTTTAACATACCAATGGCACCTGGCAAGACACGTTCAATTGTTTGCAGTGCTCGTAACTTTTTCCAGTTGACAGTGCCGGGTCCTTCTTGGTGGCAGGTGAGAGCTTGAAATTCGCACTGTTGAAAAGATGATGCCATCCTCTGTCATATACCTGAAAACATGCAAATTTTGTGTGTTTCTTTTCTTATTCTACGAGATAAATTAATTGTCTGAACTTCTTTCCCTCTGTTGCTGTGATATTTAGACACATGCTATAACGGTTTGTTTGGATAACGAAGTAGAAGAAAAATGGAGGGGAGGGGAGGGAAAAAGAAGGAAGGGGAAGGAATGGAAGGGGAGGGAGAAGGTAAGGTCAAAATTTCCCTCCAAATCTTCCCAACATTGGAAGGATTTGTTTTATTAAGATGGAGGGAAAATGGATCCTTCCATTTCCCTCCATTTTCCCTTCCTTTCCCTCGTACCCCAAAGAAGGGAGGATGAATCCCTTCTTTTCCCTTCTCTTCCTTCCCTCCAATTCTATCAATCCAAAAAATTTGTAAATGATTCAGGGTAGAGAAGGAAGGGTGAAGACATAATATATGCTAATTTGGAAGTACATATTGTCTCAGGATATTCTTTTAATAATAATTAGCATATCTTTTCACCTTTCCCTTCTGTACAAAATAATCATTAAGGTTTTTGTTTCTTTTTCTCTTTTTTCTTAATCTACTAACTGCTATAACAAGCTTTTTAATACGTATGAGTCCTTTCAAAAAAAAAAAAAAGCATATGAGTGATAAACTATCTGCAAGAATCTTAAGCACCATCTTCGTGAAGGACTGAGCTCAAGGAACATCATTTGCGCTTTATAATACTTCTGTTCTTATTTGCTGTTGCTTCTGATTGTTTCAGGTGTATGAGTCCTTCAAAAAAAAAAAAAAAAAAAAAAAAAAAAAAAGCATGAGTGATAAACTATCTGCAAGAATCTTAAGCACTATCTTCGTGAAGGACTGAGCTCAAGGAACATCATTTGCGCTTTATAATACTTCTGTTCTTATTTGTTGTTGCTTCTGATTTTTTCAGGTGGTTCCAAGATGGCATGAACATTGGACTTCAAACAAAGTGTATGATGGAGATATGATTGTGCTTCAGGGTCAAGAAAAATATTTTCATTCTAAAACAACAGATGATTCTGAAGATATTAATGCACAATACACAAAAATTACTTTCACACCAACACAATCAGATCGGTTTGTTTTGGCGTTTCGTAACTGGCTGAGACGGCATGGTGATGGGCAACCTGAATGGTTTGGTGATGTAAAGCAACAGCCTTTACCGTCAACAGTTTTGTCCAAACGTCAGGTAAGCATTGTGCTCTGTGATACTAAGCAAGGGGATGCTTTTGACTCTTGTGAGATGCTCACTTTCTTGTTTCTTCTCTCCACTCCAGACATGCAAATAGCCAAATAGTAAAAATGACAAATCAATTATAAAATAGAAACTTAAAAAACTTATGATTATTGTCCGTGCAATTATTATCCTGGGTATTTGCACTTGGGGGGATTTGTGCTCTCTGACTAGTGTTGGGCTAACAATTAGTAATTGCACTGCCTGTGTGCAACTCTTGCTAATATCCTGGGGGAGGGCGGTTCCCGTGTCTCAGATGTTCAGAACCTTTCACTGGTTTCCCCTGCACTTGCAAAATGTCAATTTCTGTATATTCTAATTAATAGTTATATGGAACTCATTTCCTACAGATGTAATAGCCACATCCATATACTATTAAAAAATGTTTGGACTAAGTTGTCACTTCCTAAAAATGTAATGGTTAATGAATATTTAATAAGAAGTAAATGATTGGGAGAGGAATATAGGGTATATCTGTTACATCATGTCTAAACTTTGATTGTGAAATCTTCAAACAATGTGCTAACTAGTTCTGGATAGATGGAATTATGTGGTGGTCTTATTGAATGAACCCACTTACCATTTGGCCCATTGATCAAGTTTGTGTGTTACATGTGCCTTCAGTAAGCACTGAGATAAGTTTGCTGACAACTTATATGCCTTCTTTGTTGTTTATAGATTTTTGGTCCAGACTATATCTAGGTTACTAGTGTTCACCGTACGCATATTCTATATATTTGCGCACTGCAGTACCTCCCTAATCACAGGACAATTCCATAATCTAGCCTTTTATAATTCATAATGTTTCTTGTAGTAGTTGGTGTGCCTAAAAGAATCGATTATGCCAAATAAAACATCTTATACTGTGTAATATCTATTGTATGCAGATGCTGGATAGATTTGAGCAGCACACCCTGAAATGTTCGTCATGTAAAGGAGCCTACGAGGGTTTTCAGATGTGGCAGAAATTACTGATAGGTGCAACAGTCATTTTTGCTGCTACAGCCGGCATTCCATCAGCATTGCGTTTACGGTTAATTTTAAGTGGGCTTTCGATTGTTAGTGCTGCAGTTGCTTATGTATTGTATGACCTTCAGAAGAACTTTGTGTTTGTTGATTATGTACACGCTGACATTGAATAGTACTGTGAAACCAGGAGAGAGTCACATATGTGTATAGCCAAAAAGTCACAGTTAGGTTTATCAAACTATTCTTTGACATAGTTTACAGTATGTCAGATAATTTTGCCATTGTCAGACTGTTAAATTTGCTTGAGAGGTAGGAGTCTCAAAATTTTGTGCTGAATTTCATTGGAACTAAACAATATTATGAAACAAACCAATATCATAAAAATAAACATAACAAAACAATAAATAAACATTGGATTTCATTAATCAAAAGTTCACACGCAAAGTTCATACAGCTAATTTGTGCCACAAGTTAATTCTATGCTCATATAGCTGCTCCCATCCAACAACACTTGACTCACGAAAACGAAACCAGAAGTCCGCAATAGGGGGAATAGGATGGTCACTTTCAAGCTTCAAATGAATAAAATGTGAGCCACCTACGATAGCAATCACGAACTCTGATTTGGGTGCAGTTGCTGTGCCAGGGGCCTGTAATGGCAACACTGTGCAGCATGGGTAGACGTCGTTTCGAGTAAACCCGATCCCATAAAAAATCACTGCTGTGTTGAAAAACGTAGCAATAGGAAACAAATCCCGAATGACTTCCATCCAGTGAATTTCCTCACACGACTCGCTGTTCCATCTAATGCGCCAGAGTTCATAATCCAACCCACACGGGTTACAGTAAATCTTGCTATACAACCCGGAATAAGCTGCAATCTCATTGGCAATTGTTTGTCGAATTAGTCTCCAGTTATCTTGATCACCCATAAAGAAGTCGGCCACGCAACGAAAACCACAATTTCCATCACTAGTAACATCTTTCCACCCAACTAAGTAAGGCAAAATGATTCCCGGAAGCAAGTGGACATATCTACAATCATTGATGCTGATATAATTAGTATGTACCTTACCAAGAATGGACTGTGCTACGTATTCGACTGTAGACTCAGGCATGTCAACACATGTATTGATGTTAAGACTCTTCCAAAACGGATGAATTTGGTCTAAGTAGTACTTTGTCTTTGTAACAATCAAAGTATGTATCCGACAAGCACATGGTATCCCATGGGTAACCCGGAGTGAACAACCGCAACGTTGATGCACCTCTCCGTTCAACTCCCTCATCCTCACCGTCTCAGCATCCAAAATGGATAAACAATGGCTGGAAACCTTTCCATTAAGGTGTTGTAACGGCACATGGTGTTTGTATTTTGAAATCATTCCCAATTCTGATTTGCAAACATACAACCTAAAACAAATTCCTGAGATTTGAGCTGTAATCTGCTTATGTACATGAGCCCATATCGTATCCAAATCTCCAGTAGCCGAGTCAAGAAAGTACTTTAACGGCGAATGTTGGCTCTCAACCCTACAATTATTGACGTAACCAAAGTGCAGTACTCGGTCTGTCCAACACTTGACGAATTTCTCTTTATGCACTAGCCAAGTGCCCTCAATGTAATCAATCACCTCCGGCCATCCTCCCCATATAGCCTTCAATCTCTGGAGGGCTTGCTCATACTCTGCTTCGGATGCAGCATCCATGACATGTTTCCATCTCTCATTTGTAAAAAGTAAACCCATTGACTTGTTTTTGAATAATGCAGTCACGTAAGCCTCCACTTCCTTGTTAATATGCCATCGACAAAACAAATGTGTTGTGTTGGGAAACACACTCCTTAGCGCCGCACATAAGCCAACCTCACCGTCGCTTAGAAATACTGATGGCTCTCTTTCGTTACCAATCAACACCCTCAATTTCTCCAACACCCATCGATAGCTCTCTTCGGTCTCTGATAGCATAAACACATAACCAACAAGAAAGTTTCGATTTGTTGGTGTAACCCCAACAATCTCAAAAAATGGCATGTCATATTCATTGGTCTTGTACTTAGAATCCATACCAATCACGTAAGGATATGTGCGTAACAACTTCATTGTGTCCGGGTGTGCCATGAATGCTTGCATTATAACATTATCAGCATCAGACATAACCCAGGTAACGTATTTGCTCTCTCTAGCCAAATGAAGGACCTGCTGAACAAACTCTCTCCCCTCAGATCGCTCCATTCTGATGTCACTACTATGGTTGTATATGTGTCTGATGTTCGGATGATCATTGGGATATTTTTCCATTCTGATGTTACTCCTGTAGTTGTACACGTGCCTGATGTTTGGATGATCATTGGGATGTTTTTCCTTAAGAGTTGCCATGATCCTACGAGGCGGCACATGTGCATTCGTCATATCACGCACCACCTGTTTCGCACCTGAACTGAGACCACTGTTTTGACGATAACCCTCCGGATACACAACGAAAGGATGATTGTGTGTGCCAGTAATATCATTTTTACAAAAGATCTTCCAACCATTTGTGATTTTCTCATACTCAACCTTTATGTAAAAGGGGCAACTATTTGCCTTGCTTTTCGTGTTCTTACATATCGCGCTCTCCAAATTTCTTTCCTTCCTCTTCTTCCCACGATCACAAGCCAAATATCGAATTGGACGACCATCATGGGAGATTTTGTAAGATGATTTCGTGAATAGAAAACCAATTGATTGTGCAATTCCATTCGCCTCAACTGTTGTGCGACAGCGGAAGCAAAGGTCGAAAACAAACAAGAAAACAATAAAGAAATTCAATGCAAACAATAAGAACAACACCAAGAATTTACGTGGTTCACTATCGATGTGATAGCTACGTCCACGGGCACCGAGATCGAATGATTTCACTATAAACTGCAAAGATTACAAAGATGATTCTTGTATTTCTCAAGAACGGCTCTCACTCTCTCTCTCTTAACCCTAATACTAATATTAGGGAGGTTTTATATTAATCCCTAAAATAAAAGATACTTGGGCAAAAAGATAACATAAAAGATAACTTTAAATCGTAAAATCCGCGTCTCCGCATTTTTCCTTCTCCGCCCGGTCAGACCGGGCAAGGTCTGCCCGATCGGGCGCGAGAAGAAAACTCCATACGAATGCTTCAACGTATCCAACCCCCACCGCCCGGTCAGACCGGGCAAGGTCTGCCCGATCGGGCGAAGGCTCGCCCGGTCGGGCGAAGGCTCGCCCGGTCGGGCGCGAGAGCAGCTTCTTCAACGAATTTGCCAGGCACCTCTTCTTCTTCCGCCCGGTCAGACCGGGCAATGTCCGCCCGATCGGGCGGACAAAGCTACGAAGTACGAGTCACCTAATATACTTATCAACAATCTCCACCTTGACGAGAACTCGTAGTCAGCAAACGACCCCATCAAGACATAGTGAAAAAACATCTCAAGCCAAACCCGATGCAGGACTCATGCATAAGCCATACATCCCGATAAGTCTTCAACCAAGACCCATCACATACTCGTCTCCAAGTATAACAACTCATAATGCTCCACCTGCATCACAAGCCCCGGGCAAGCTCCACCTTAATGCCAACACACCTACACCAGGAGCTCCCCAACTTCGCCCCTCAGGGCCTACTACATCACGTAGTAATCAATATTTAGCAAGTCTAAGCAATGTTTAAACTTGCTAAACGGAACAGGCTTAGTGAAGAAATCAGCCGGGTTGTCAGCAGTCCCAATCTTCTTCACCTTAATCCTCTTGTCAGTACGCAAGAAATGATACCTGACATCAATGTGCTTCGTCCGATCATGGTGTACTTGATCTTTAGCTAAGCAAATCGCACTTAGACTATCACAATACACTGTAGCAAAATCCTGTGCAATACCCAGTTCACCTACTAGGCCTTTGAGCCAAATAGACTCCTTAGCTGCAGAAGTTAGAGCCATATACTCAGCTTCAGTAGTTGACAACGTAACTGATGACTGCAATGTAGACTTCCAACTAACCACAGAACCACCCAAAGTGAACACATAACCAGTCACAGACCTCCTGGTATCCACATCAGCTGCATAATCAGAATCACTGTACCCAGTGACCAAGCATTCCTTACCATTCCCGTACACAAGACCAATATCAGCTGTCCCTCTCAGGTAGCGAAAAATCCTTTTCACCCCTTGCCAGTGTTCCCTCCCAGGTCGAGCCATAAACCTGCTTACAACACTAACAGCATGCGCAATATCCGGCCTAGTACAGACCATAGCATACATCAAACAACCAACCGCGTTTGCATATGGAACTCTAGACATATAAGACAACTCCTCCTCTGATTGAGGTGACATAGACAAAGACAACTTACAACTAACAGTAGTTGGCGTACTTATAGGCTTCGATTTTTCCATCCCAAAACGAGACAGAATCTTTTCAATGTAGCTTTTCTGAGTCAAGAAAAGCTTACCTCTAGCCCGATCCCTGTAGATCTCCATACCCAAAATCTTCCTAGCTGCACCCAAGTCTTTCATGTCAAACTCCGAGTTAAGCATCTCCTTTAATCTAGCAATATCAGATTTATTCTTTGTGGCAACCAACATGTCATCAACATATAACAAAAGATAAATCATGGAACCATTATCCAGCTTACTATGATACACACAGCAATCATATGAATTCCTGTCAAAACCTTGTGAAACCATAAAAGAATCAAACCTTTTGTACCACTGTCGGGGGGATTGCTTAAGTCCATACAATGACTTTAGCAATCTGCAGGCATAGTGTTCCTTTCCAGGAACTTCGAATCCTTCGGGCTGCTTCATCAGAATCTCCTCCTCCAAATCGCCATGAAGGAAAGCCGTTTTAACATCCAACTGCTCCAGCTCAAGATCAAAATGTGCTACAATTGACAATAACACACGGATAGAAGTATGTCGAACCACAGGTGAGAATATCTCAACAAAGTCAACCCCTTCTACCTGACTGAACCCCTTAGCAACTAGCCTAGCCTTAAAACGTATTTGCTCAGTTTCCGACAACCCTTCTTTCTTCTTGTAAATCCATTTACAACCCACAAGCTTCCTCCCTTCCGGTACCTTTACCAGTTCCCACACTCTGTTCTTGTAAAGAGACTGCATCTCTTCACCCATTGCGGCAAGCCATTGCGCAGACTCACTACAACTAATTGCTTGTTTATATGTGGCAGGTTCAAATGACTCTACATCATCAGCTACACTCAATGCATAACCTGTCATCGCATCAACACAGCAATTTCTTCCCTCCATCTCTTCAATCAATCTAACAGGCTTCTTGATAACTCGTTTAGGCATCTCAAGAATGGTG